CAAAATCTGCTTTCGGTTCATTCTACTGGTACAAATTTTCTATTCACGAACGGATCATTTTTTGATCTCTTGATTTTTATTCACAAAAGTTCTTTCTTTAAACATACATCTTTTATTCTTAATTCACACAGCTCTCCTGGTCTTTGTATTATATGAAAACTCAGGTCTACTAATGCCAGATCACGGTATCATAATATTAGATTTGCTTTTTGTAGTGGTGAATCATGGTAAAGCTTCAAAGCTTCTAAGAGGAACAGGTCACAGGACCATTATGTGTCCTTGTTCAAGGCTTGCAACTGTCTAATTCCTCTTATAGTTTCTTTTATCTTTTCATTATTTATTAGATCTTTGTAGCCTACATTTTTATAGATATATAAAATAGCTTTTATATAGATCTGCACCTGGCCCCCTTTTTCTGTCAATTCTAGCCACTCTAAAAAAGCTCTGATCATATTTAGATCCGCTGGACAAGCTTTAGTTTTTGCCCAACCGAAAAATTTAAAAAGGTCTGATTCGCTCTCTTTATTTTCTTCCTGTACATTGGACTATACATTTCTGAGCTATTTTATCTGTATAATTTTCTAGAATCCTGATCAATTGATGTAGACTGCAATCATTTTTTAGAACAGATTGTTAAATGGCTCTATTTGTCTCAACAGGCCTAGGACTATAATCTCTTTGGGCAGTAGTAACTCTATTATTTCTCTTGGGCTAATAAAAGAAGGGACCACCAAGAGGCCAAGACCCAAACTAGTAAAATTATCACTATTCTTGTTTTGCATTCTTTGCAATGAATCAATATATAATGTATTTGATTGAAAGGCAAGCATATATAGTTCATTTTGTTTTCTCAGTTTTGAGAAAAGCAATCCACTGTTTCTGTTCTCAGTGAAAAGTAGTAAGGGACATGACAAAAAATCAGATGATTTTTTAGAGTAGAGGAGGTAAAAAAAGTTAAAATTATATATAAGAATCTGATTTTTTTTATATTAAAAGGGGGGAGGGAGAATAAGTTTCTGATAAAAAATAATCAGGTGATAAATGATACTGCTCTAACTGTTGAACCTGTGGGCCTTTATGTTT